TGTCGCTTGATAGATTAGCATCTTCCACAAATTTCCTCCAAGTTCGTTCAATTTGTCGCCAGAAAGCCATTCTTCACAATTAGGTCAACATTGGGCAATGATACACATCAACCGTTCCCTCCTGCACTTCTTTCAGGCCATGCTTCTTTCGAACGCGGCAGCTTGTCTCCAGGCATTGTAGTTTTCAGAATTCACCTTCGGCTCCATTCCTATAAAAGATAAAAGCTTATTCCATGGTTTTGGATCTTAACTTTTGTTGTTTCACTTCTTCAACAGTTCCTTCGTTGCTTCAGAGATTTTCAAGTTCACAGAAATCCTCTACCTCTTCGTCGTTAGTAATCAGAATGGTGGCGTAAACTGAACATTTTAACAGCTTGTTACGTTTTAACAGCCAGTCGGAGGACAAGTACAACGACTCGTGATGGGGGAAAATGACAGAAAATGATTCGCGAAGATCACTTCTTCCTGAAGATAAATCCAATTCCGTCGACACTGCTTATCTCCTTCAACCTTCGAAGAACCATGGTATATTCCTCCAGGCCATATGCCAAGATGCAAAAGACCATGACGATTTGCCGATTTTCTGACCAGAGTTGTTGAAAAGTTCATTCTTAACAGCATTACACCATCGCGCGAACTAGTTAATTCATACCGGTAAGATACTTTAACAGGGCAACAAATACAGAAATTCTGGAAGCCTTGCAAAAGCTGTAGAAAGGTTACGACAACATGGAAATCAATTTTAAAAAAAAAAAAAAACTTCAGCTAACGTGCAGGTAAAGTCTAGCAGTGAAAAAATTTCACCAATATACTAAGTTCTGCCGCAGTGAAGAAAAAATATAGAAGTTTTCTGCATATATACTACAACCAGCAAATTCGAGTTTTTTCTTTGAAAAAAGGTTGATTTGGCGGATAACAAATTACTGTTTTTCTCAGAAACACTGGAATTTTGATTTCCACTTTCAGTTATGAAAAGTTTTTGCTCTTTTTCACTTTCATCTACTCTTTTTCACTTTCATCTTTTTCATTTTCATATACAGAAGAACAGGCTGAAGCATTTCACCCTTCGTTTAATTTTATAAAAAACAATGGCAACTTACGTTTAAAGACTAACTGATGCCTTTGATCCCGCTTAATGCTAAACTTATGAATGAGATCAAGCAAAACACCATTTGTCCATCCGAATCCCTGTTGTACAGGGTACTCTCCACCAGCGCCTGGTCTTCCATCATCGTATCGTACGTCATACTTCTCCCAACATGCTGATGGCTATAAAAAACATTGTAGTAGATTTGCTTACAGCCTACTTTTTTCAACAGCTTACCTCTTTGATGCCACTCTAAGACAGTTTTAATTAAACATACTATTGGTTTTATCAAAACATATTTCAAACGGTGACCATTTAATATAAGTTTCTAAGTGAAAGCAGACTTTCAAGAGAAAGATAAATCGAACAGTATTTTACAAAGAAAAAACTAACCATGCCTTTCGATGGATTTACTAGGCCATTGTAAGCAGTGCGAATAAACTTCCAGGCTACTTGTTCACCTATCTGAACAAGCTTCTTGTCATTTGATAAACGCAGACTCTCCACGAATAAATGTATTAGTGGTGGCCAGCCATTAGGGAAATCCCACTGCTCGTGCGATCCATTACTTAGACTCACCGGAATACCACCTGTAGCACTGCATTTGACAAACCAGTAAAACAAGCTGCGTCGGTCTGATTTCTCACAAACAGATAAAATAAGTGGCAAGGAAATGATAGAACCTTTGAAGCTGAGTGCCCCACTGTTCAGCAAATACTGTTGCACTTTTTCGGTTGTACGGGAACTGTAGCCACCTAGTAAGAGAGGGAAAATATTGCTCGCATAGAAACGCCTTCGCAACTTTCGCCCCTCCAAGTCGTAGTCAAACCATGCTCCGTCCAAATCACTCCAGAATACCTCATCTATGGCTCTGCGCAACTCTTTGTGTTGCTTACGATATCGATCCGCCTTTCTGGAATTTTCTTCCATTCATAGAATTTTTCATTTAACTTCAGCTTTTGCTCTGGAGGCGTTGACTTTTTGGTTTTGGTTTTCTGTTTTCATAACTGAAGCTGCTGATATCACCATAAGTCAAGAGCAGCTGTATCTCTAAATGCTAAATTGTGTTCCCACTCGATCCACATTTTACAGTGCTAGGAATTGTAGACCTTCATTCTACAGCAAAAGCATATCAACCAACGCGTACTAGAGAATAGCGTGAAAATCTACCTGGTTTTCCCAAGTATCTCGTAGAAACTTGCAAGCGTTACAAAATTCCACGCCATATAAACATTCAAATCAACCGGAACAATATTGTTGGTTTGAATCGAATACTTTGTACCTTAAAGAATAATTTAGCCTCAAATAAAGTAGCAAGAAAAGAATCATACAATGAAATATTAAACCAACCCGCATATTTTCCATTATAAGCGAACCACCTTGTACTAAAATCTAGCCCAGATTCACAAGCGCTCGCAATTGATGACCAAATGAAGTCGGGCTCCCTAGTGCCGTTAACACCATTGCTGAGGTCAGTCAAGTAGTTTTCCGGACGTGGGCAACTGGATAATGCCTGAAATACCTTGGTTTCAACTATGTTTTGTTAAAGTGTCTTCGTAACAGGAAAAAAAGGAAGTCAGTGGACCGCAAACAACATTCACCCACCTTTTCACAAAGATGCAGCTTATAAGAAGTAAAACAACCGACGCCCCAAGCGTTACTTACTCTGTACTGATACATCTGATACTGACTACCAGATGGTAGCTTAACATCAACAGTGCGATTCGTCCTCCACCACAACATTTCTTGGTCCATCCACTGTACCATTTGATCCAGAAATGTCTTGTTTCCAGTTGCTTCATAATAGTCTGCTACCATTTGAATAAAAAGCGGAGGATCACTTCTTCTTGACAATCTCCAATAGGTGATATGATTAGCTCCTGAACTCCAAATCTAGAATTCTTGGAAAGTGCGCAGCATTCGGATAAAGATATATATACACACACACACACACACAAACAAACAAAAGCGCTGTAGCGTGCGAAGTAGTATGCGAAAACATATGCACACACACGCACACACACACACACGCACACACACACATACACACATCTACATTCTTACGTATGCATTTGCACATACACACATACTATACTGAGTATGCGCACACAAACACATTGTAAGGACTATCTTTTAACCTCAAACTGAACAGCCTTCACGACCCCATCTCGTATCCCGCTCCACTAAAAGCTAAGAAAGCAAGAACCAATTTTAAGAATATGCACCTTCCTGACGCTAAAAGTGCCTTCAGCTCAAGCGAAATCCCTTTAATAACAGGAAGGTACAAACAGAATCGTTCATAGATTTCACTTTTAAGCACTGGTACACAAAACATAATTTTGCTAACAAAATTAATTACTGGGAGCTTTGAATCTCTACAATTAGCTTTCAGTCATATCTTCCCACTATAACTGAGGAGTTATAAAGGGAAGAAGTGCCAAAAACCAGCACAGTAGCATATGCAATAAGAAACTTACTGCACGCTGCCTGAGTTAGGAATGAAGCCATGGTACTGGACGACACTGGCCAGGTTTTCCAGAATATGACGCACACTTATATTCATGTTTGAAAACAATAATCCTGGAAAGATATGCAGCGAAATCCTCAAACAGTCGACGCATCACGCTTGCTAATTCATTTCTGCTAACAATCTAATCAGAAGGCAACAGTACCAGAGCACATTACTCAATAACCTTTGTTAATCCAGTATGAGTCCCAGTAGAAATATATCTGGAAAGAGCCACCGGGAACAATAAAAGCATTTGGCACAGGCAAAACTGGAAATCGGTCCGGCGTCTGTTGCACTTGTTCAACAAACTCTCGAGCCAGTATTTTCCATAAATCATTCAATTTTCGCGTAAAATTCCTAAACAGTCAATTCCCCGAAGTTTCATCAAAAATTTGATAAGTTTGCAAAAGTCAATTTACTGAATTCACAGCAAAATCCTCTACGAGCATAAATTCTGATTGAACCTCTCATCTGGAAAAGTAATCTGCTAATTTGTCAGTTCGCTGCGGCGCTTCTAAATTCTACTACATTTAGAATGAGGACTGACTTCAGTGCGTGGTCCTGCAATCGCCTGATATTTTCTGGTTCTTCTGTCCAATCTGATAACGTGGCTTGCTTGAGGTAAGCCAAACTGGCAAAGTTGTCTGCACAAAAACGTTGAAACTGCTCGCGCTTCAGTGGATAGGTTAGGCTGAAATAATTCACTATACTTGCCATTATTATCTGAAAGCAGAGTAAAACTAATGAGCTACGGACTCAAGCCAGCTTCATGACGAAACAAAGAGAGGACAATGCAATCAGTATAACAGAGTAGAATGAAAGTACTTTAGTATCGTTCTACCCTCCAACCCAACGACTCTCCAATGTGAAGATAATTAGCCAGCGCACTGACTGCCAGTGCGAAGATACGTTTTTGTGGGTTTTGCATATGTGCAAATGCGAAAACGCACATTGCGACGACTCGGTGTGCGTGGGTGTGTGCGTGTGTGTGTGCGTCTGTCCGGGTATTTCAACTCGGCACTGAAGCAAGCTCCAGCGCCGAAATTTTGCGAGTGCATTCCCAGGCCAAGTGCCATCCCAAGGCCGCGGTACCAATCCTCATCCACGTCTAGGCCCCGCATATAGGCACATGAAAGTTTTGGCGGGAAAATCGCTAACTCGGGAATCAGAAGAGCTAGAAAGCTGAAATCTTGAGGTTATGTCCTCTGTCTGTAGAGAACTCAAAGATTTCAAATTCAGCCCCGAGGTGTGCGAGGTCCCCGCGCATGGCCCCGTGAGGATTTCAGGCGGGAAGATCGCTAACTTGGGATCCAGGACAGCTGGGAGGGATGAAATTTTTAGGGGGTGTACCCAGCTTATCTGCAACTTAAATTTATCGAACTCAACCTCTGGGCATGCGTGTTTGTAACGTACGGCCCCGTGAAAATTTTCGGCGGGAAAATAGCTAACTCCAGACCCAGAGGAGCTGGACAGCTGAAATTTTCAGAGAATGTTCCCAGCCCATGTATAACTTAAATCTATCAAATCCAGCCCCCGGGCATGCGGGATCCTCACGTACGGCTTCGTGGAAATTTTTGGCGGGAATACGGGAAACTCGAGAACTGGGAAGGCCGAGAGCCTGAGATTTTAAGGGAATGTTCTCAGTCCATTTACAACGTAAATTTACCAAATTCAGCCCCCAGTTATGCGAGGCTCTCTCGTTTGGCCCTGTGAAAATTTTCGGCGGAAAAATGATTAACTCCGGAAGTAGAAAAGGTGGGAGGCTGAAATTTTTAAGGAATGTTCCCTGTCCAAGTACAGCGTAGACAAATAAATTCCTGAAATTCGAGGACCAGTATTTCACACATTTCTAGCTACTGGGTTTCCGAGCGATCTCATTACAGCACAAAACACTGCAAAAACGCATGA